TCAAAAATCTCCGTGGATATACGATTCACCCAAATATGGCTTTTTGAAACAGATACCGTTTGGACTATAAAGCAAGAGTAAGATAATAATCTAAAGATTTCAATGATGCTTTGATTTATGCACTTGCTGTTATTTTAAAAATGGTCTGTTCCAACGAAAATTTGCCAACACCAGATTTACACATTTTAATAAATTACACTTGCCATTTTACATCCTTATGCCACCCTCGGCAAAAAATAAAAACAATTTTTTAATTCCAATTTTAGTTGTTATTTTGCCTACTTTCTGAAAATTCATATCAATAGTTATATTGTACAATTTTTATTGGAATACATTATAAAAGTTCCGAATAGGTCGAGGAAAATTTAAAGTATATTCCGAGGACTATATACAGGGTGAGTCATTAATAATGGTACACAGCTTAATGGCAGATTGTTGACGTCAAAATATAGCGATTGAGCCAAACATGTCTTAGTCAATTGTTGCTCCTTTTTGTTCCACAGGGTGTTAAAGTTTAAAAAATATTTTCGATTTTTTGTTATATTTTAAGTATGTATGAACCGATTGTTTCAGCAACTGAAAATTTTATTATGCATATCTTAACAAATTATTATTAATCAAAAGATTCTCATAGCAACCACCAGCGACTTCTATGCATTTATTTAAATTTTCTCTGATGTTAAATAAATTTCTATGTCGTTTGATAATATGAACTGATTCTTGAATATTTGTCCACAGTTGTACTTGACTATTAATAATGTCTTCGTAAATTAGAGACTTAAGATAGTTCCAAAAGAAAAATCCAGTGGATACAAATTAGGGCTACGTGCGGGCCCAGGTACATACTTCGCTACCGCGTCCAATCCAACGGTGCGGGAAATTCTTTTACTTCTCGAGTATAGTGTGCCGTCAATTTATTATGTCAATGCCACTACTTTGGAAAAAATACTTTTTAATTTAATTCCAGCAGAATCTCAAAAAATTAAAATGTCTGTATCTATAAAACGGTTGAGGTGATCGGTTCGTAACAAGTATACATTTTTTATTTAGAATTAAATGTAGTTCAATAATTTCTAGTTAAAAAATTCAAAATTATAAAATTCAAAAAGTTAGACATGTTTTTACATCGATAGGACAGTATAACTAGCGTCCCCTAGACGTAACCCCAACACTGTTTGCATATTCATATTTGCCACCTCAAAAAAACGTAAAACTATACATTTTCAAAACAATCGGTATATACATACTTAAAATATATCAAAAAATTGAAAATATTTTTTCAACTTTAACACCCTGTAGGACGAAAAGGAGCAACAATTGACTAAGACATGTTTGGCTCAATCACTATATTTTGACGTTAACAATCTGCCATTAAGCTGTGTACCATTATCAATGACTTACCCTGTATATATTTTTTAAATAGGTCCATGGCGTTCTTTGATTAAAAAATCATTTGTTTTCAATCTCTTAAAAGGCTGTAAATTCTAAGTACCATTACTGGTCATTGTTACTAATTAATTCCCTCAAAATGTGACTCTGTGACATGTACAATCAAGTAACCGTAAGACATCCACACAATTTAAATAATTCAGTCAGATTTAGAATTACCAATGTAGATACTTTTTTCTCCATTTGTAAAAAACCTCCAGAAGTTTTTGACTGCGAAATATTAATTAACTGGGTAGTATAACAACCCCTGGTTCGATCGAAAAAAATAATAAACGTAGTTGTGGCCAAAAATATGTGATCGTCATAAGGACTACCTACGTTGTATGTATCTATTTTTTAATTGACCGGAAGGCGCTGGCTACTAACTTTGTAGAGGGGATGTATGGTTTAATTATATAAAACAAAAGCAGAGTAAATACACCTAACTTTATTATTTATGTACAATAGTCTTCAAATTGAACATGTGACAAATAGAAAGAACAACAAAAACATTAACAACCATTTAACATACAATGAGAGTGCCAGGCTCATTTAGAGCTCCTGTAGGGAAAGAGCATGGCAGAGAAACCCACGATCATTGCTCTTACCACCCAAATATAAATACAAAATAACCGCTAACCAAAGGCATAAATTAAGATCCTTTGCTAATGATAAGCAAGACCTGTCTCATTTAATGTGTCACTAAATGTCATCTGTTATCTCATATTAGTCATACACACTTCCAAGTAAAACTGAAGAGGTTTGGTGTTAGTTAGCCGGCAAGGCCGGAAGGTACTGGAGTCCAATCATACGGGAGGCAATCCAGCTATAGTTGAGATTTCGGAAGATCTGTCCCAGCAATTCTTTTTTGTATTTAATTATTCTTTTTATAGATTCATTCCTCACGGGCGAAAATGTTAGTAAATTCAACAAGGCTTTTATATGCGTATGACATAAAGTGAGCACAAGAAATCAAAGAACAACGTAATCAAGATAAAACAAGTTAAATGTGAAACAAAGGAGCTGTTATTGTAATATATGGGCAGTCACGATAATATACATATTTTAACATGTAATAAATAATGAGCAATCGTTAATAATAATTGTAACAATTTTATCTTAGAAAAATATACGCCCCTGAGCATAAAATAATGAAGGCTAAACATACACAGAATTATTATCATGAAACATCTATGTTTTTCGAACAACGTTCGACAAAAACAAGTTAGATGTAAAACAAAGGAGTCATTATTGCAATGTCTGGGCAGTCACGACAATATATATATTTTAACATGAAATAAATAATGAGCAATCGTTAATAATAAAATTTACGCCCCTGAGCATAAAATAATGAAGGCTAAACATACACAGAATTATTATCATGAAACATCTATAAACATCACAATCATAAGATTACATAGAACAATTAACAACAAAGTACTTAAAGAATATTAACTGCTAACTAATACCGGTTAAACACTTAATTTTCCACTATTTCTATATTTTTCACACTACACTGATCGTCTTACTTTTCACTCCGCGCTCTTCTTACTTTAACTGCCTATCCTCAACTATTTTGGCTTCCTTTCAGAATGCCCCACCTAGACGTTTGCTTTTTTGCGCTTCCTTCTACCTACCGTTAATATTACTTTTTCATTATTATACAACACTCATGTAACAGGTGACGTCGAAGTTGATAAGATAAGTATGGTTTTGCACAACTGATAGTTGTTCAGATCTGTTTTTTAGGTGGATGATACAAAGTGTGCTGGGCACAAACCTTGGTTTCAGGAGGTTTGCAATCAGATGGAATGTCCTACCTGGCTAACAACGAAGTGGTCTGGAGTAAGTACATCTTAGGTTTTTACTTGTATTTTTGGTGCCGTTTGACAGTAACAGAATTTCTACCAATGTAGAAACAATTAGGTGCATTAAATTAAGCAAACTGATATCTTTATTTCAACATCGCAGTGTTCGGTTTCCTGTGGAGAAGGCTTCCAAGTGAGAGGCGTAGAATGCAGAGACTCCCACGACAAACCGAGCGAATTATGTTCTGAAGACAACAAACCAGCAACCAGGAAACCCTGTTCCACAGGCATACAGTGTCCATTCCGCGTAGACACAAGTGAAGAGCTGATGCCAGGGTTGTATCACACCCAACCCTTAGTGCAACCGTACCCACCACCGCCGTCACCAGAGAGGCTCATCGGAGAACAAGTGGTTCCTTCAGAGAGCACGTAAGTCACATCAACTTACCTCACCATCACCGTCGTTGCTGATATCATTGCCTTATAACTGTTTTGTTTTTATTTATTGGCTTTCTCTATTAATGTAATACTCTTCATAGTAACACGTCACCCTCACGATGATTTAGTTTCACTAACTTTGTTGCAATCTTTTAATATTTTGGGTTATTTTACAAAGAAGCTTGGATAATGTTAACGAAGATGAATTAAGCAATATCTAACAGTTTAAAGAGATAATTGGTAATATATATAAATATTATCAAAAACAAACCACCGTACATCTCCCTGCATGTCACTGGTACGTAGAATGACGTGTACCAAATCTGAATCAGGTGTCATATTAATGAAGAAATATTTCAATAGTAAGACTAGCACCATGTAACTTTTAGATGAAGAAGTGACAAATTCTGCTGTTTATTACCTCAAAAATCACTGGTTGCTATTTGACTGTTATTTTCTGGATCACCCATATTGATGCCAAAGCTATTACGTAAATGCTTTGATACAACAAAACTGGTTGAGACATTTGGACTAAATATCCCATGTTATAGAATTCACTCAAGCAACATATTTCCATAAGTTGAAATTCTTCAGAGTTAAAAAATATTTTTCGCATAATTTAATTATTATGGTCCAAGTATCACTATACAGCGTGTCCCACTAGTGCGGGAAAGTTCAATATCTATGTTAAAATGAGGAATATATGGATTTTTCTTTTTACTGTGTTGCCACATTTCTCGGAATGTACAAATTAAAAAAAAGGGTGTTCCACTTTTCCTGGACAGACACCAACTTTGGTTTTTTAAACGGAAACACACATTTTTTATATTTTTTTCGGATTCTGCATCTAAAATAAAGGGTACTTTGTGTAGAATAGTTCTATTCAAATATTCACAGTTTTTGAGATATCTCGCTTGAAAGGTTTTTCTATTCGATATTGGTTGCTTACATTTTCTGATACTGACAGGTTATACTAATAGCTATTAAGCCCATTTTTTATCAGATGTTTAGTAAGGATTACTCTTCCAAATCATGCTCCAAAGACTGGCCTGCGTTATACAGGGTGACCAAAATATCATGTCAAAATTGCCAATTGAAAAATTGAAAAATCTCGATTTTTTTTATATGCAACGCCCTGTATATTTTCATACCATGAGATGCAGAATTAAATTCTCTACAACTTTGCTATACCTGGTCCTATACCAGAATTCATTAGTTTTTCATGAAATTTCATTTCTATGAAAAAATGCTAAGTTTACTAATAGCTTATATGTAAAATAACGTAGTAGGCACCTGTCAAATGATATTCTGGAAAATTTTCGATTCACATAAAGTTTAATAGAAAAGCGATAAAGCGACAGTAATAATTGTGAAATGAATTAATCTAAAGAATTAGTAAAACTCATGGTAACTGTTTGTTGGCAAGTCGTATTTACCAAGCTAATAATCCAGATTTACAAAGATATCCTCGTACAAAGTGTTTTGTAAAACTGAAGGAGAGGTTTGAAAGAACAACAAATACAAATTATGAGAAGACAACAAGAATACACGCATGCAGTCTCCAAAACAGAAAATTAACAACTTGCATTTCTAACAAAAGTAATAAAGACCTAGTTAAATTAGTAATTAACAAGTAACCGCTCAAAAAACTTACATAATGAGAAAACTTACCGCCAGTGTAGAATATGCCGGGACACCATCATGTTGGAACCACTGAATGTTTAAGTCATCCTGAGGAATATGTCCCTGCAATTGGAGCAAGTCGTTTTGTAAAAATTGCAAATACCCATTACCAGTTAAGTTTCCTTCAAGAAAATGTGGTCCAATGACATATTCTCCGCATATTCCCGTCCAAACGTTGACTTTAAAGCGGTGTTTATGATCGTCTTGTCTTTTTAATCTGGGATTATGATCGGCGTAATGGTGATAATTATGTCGACTCTCTCGGCCAGTATTGGCAAATGATGACTCGTCAGTAAATAACACCTTTGTAAAACAAAATTTCATCTTGTTGCAGCTTTATAGTTGCCCACTCACAAAACTGTACTCGCTTCTGAAAATCTTGCTGTATTAAGAATTGGTGATGCTCAGAATGATAGGGGTGGAAGTTGTTTTTCTTTAACGTTCTATCAACCACACTTTTGGGAATACTAATTTCATCACTAATTTCTCTAAAATGTCAATTTGACTATCCTGATTACCACATGCATGTGTTCTTGTTGTCTTCCCATAATTTGCATTTGCCATTCTTTCAAACCTCTCCTTCAGTTTTACAAAACACTTTGTACGAGGATATCTTTGTAAATCTGGATTATTAGCTTGGTAAATACGACTTGCCAATAAACAGTTTCACTAATTATTCTATTATTTATTTACTAATTCTTCTTTAGAGTAATTCATTTCACAATTATTACTGTGGCTTTTCTATTAAACCTTATGTGAATCGAAAATATTCCAGATTATCATTTGACAGGGCCTACTACGTTATTTTACATATAAACTATTTGTAAACTTCGCATTTTTTCATAGAAATGAGATTTCATGAAAAACTAATGAATTTTGGTATAGGAGCAGGTATAGCAAAGTTGTAGAGAATTTAATTCTGCATCTCATGGTACGAAAATATTCAGGGCGTTGCATTTAAAAAAAAATCGAGATTTTTCAATTTTTCAATAGGCAATTTTGACATGATATTTTGGCCACCCTGTATAACGCAGGCCAGTTTTTGGAGCCTGATCCGGAAGAGTCATACTAAACATCTGATAAAAAAATGGGCTTAGTAGCTATTAGTATAACCTGTCAGTATTAGAAAATGTAAGCAACCAATATCGACTAGAAAAACTTTTCAAGCGAGATATCTCAAAAATTGTGAATATTTGAATAGAACTATTCTACACAAAGTACCCTTTATTTTTTATGTAGATTCCGAAAAAAATATAAAAAATGTGTTTTTCCATTTAAAAAACCAATGTTGGTGTCTGTCCAGGAAAATAGGAACACCCTGTATAGTTGAATATAATTTTAATTTGTACATTCCGAGAAGTGTGGCATCACAATAAAAAGAAAAATCCATATATTCCTCATTTTAACATAGATATTGGACTTTCCCGCACTAGTGGGACACGCTGTATATACCAGAGTCCCAAAATTGTAGGTTCATTTGTAATGCGATTCCATGAGCGTCTCATTTTAGAGAAATTATTAAGTATAAATAAAAAATACTTGGATATATCGATTTTGGTTAAAACTAAAATATCATCACAGATCTATACCTGGTATATCCAAGAGGTAGGTACTTTTTTATTTACATTAAAGTATGTAATCAGAAATTCTACCCTCTTGACACCGTGTACACTTTTATTCTTCTTTTATTCTGGGACGCAGTCAGTACTCTCGCTAATTGGACAAGTGGCCCCTGAAAAAATTTCACTTGCGTAAAACGTCAGTCAGTAAACGATTAACACATTTAGACACATTTGACAGACAGTTGTTAAACTACTACACACTTCACTAGCATCACTCACCGATGTAATATCCATGTTTCGCTCCCTGATAAACTTTGTTTATCATACAACGTTCTTGATCTATTAAATTCGCTCCTTTATGACCACTCTGATTATTAACAGGTTCTATTACATTAACAAACGCATACAATTCCATTTTTTAAATCACACGCTGAAATAACTAAAATGTGAAAATAATGTTTCTCACTTGCACGCATATGACACGAGAGGAACGCGTAATCTGAAAACTAATAATTCCTAAAATAAAACTGCAGAGCTGGTCATGTCTCTTTTTGAACAAGGTAACCAAAGCTAGAAATGGTAACAATAAACCGTTCCAAATGAACGCGCTCAGTTTTTATCAGATTAAGAAATTGTAAAAAATGTGATTCGATATAATTGTGAAAGTAGCTAGTCGGAAAATTTATATGGAGAAAACCAGATCCCAATGTCTTGATTCATTTAAGAGATATACTTATGTAGTTCTTAATTTTTGGTCGTTTCTGTTGATATCGAATTTTTTTTATTGTTGAAAATTTTTAATTTTTGAGTGGATTTACGTACAGAATAATTTCCAGTATTCTAATTACAATCCAAATCTTTATTAGTTTTTTAAATGAAAAACTGTGTTTTTCACTTCTTGAAATTTATGTAAAATTTAAATTTGATGTAATGACATGATATACCAAAACAAATTAATGCGTAGAAGAAAAAAAACAAAAACAATTTGACCGTTTATTTGATTCCATGGGAATTTCCTGTTGAGTTTTTCTTTAAAACCGAGCCCTACTCATCATAACTACGTTTTATCTGGTTCCTTAGGAAGTAAAGAAACCCCAAATAATTGGCTCATCCTGTACAGAAATAAATAATAGAAAAAAAAATTATGTTATTCAGGATAGGGTAAATATTGTAAGTTAAACCCATTTGAGAGTAACGCAAATTGGAAACGAATCATAATGGGAATAAACACAGCAGTTAATTTGTTTGATAATTCGTGTCTACCGAAATTAGATACATGAATACAAATGGAATAAACATTGCATTTACCAGGGCCTTTGTTGACACCATTGCTTCTTTGTAACATAATCGGCTTTGACAATAAACGCTATCGCTATTTGTGCAGTTCAGATAACCCAATATTTATTAAATAACCTGTTTAAATTGGTATGAAATCCCATTTTGATTAGTTATCTGCACTGCTTGTGACGCTTGCACCAGCCAGCAGCCTCAACGGGCTCCCATTACACACCATTGTTCCATTCATTTATACTAATTCCCATTCCACTTGTGTCTGCGACTACATTTCCATGTGTGTGCATTGTCTTTTCAGCGATTACAAAGTGTACTTTGCCTGCGGTTGGGTATACGTGAGGTACTCGATTAAAATTTTACAAATTTTATTCTTATTTACTGCCCACCTTGCACTTGACACAGATTCACACGTTCGGAGTTTTTTGCCTGTTTGTAAATAAACTTAGAAAAATGTTTACTACATTAACTGTAACATATAGGTACATGAGTGTCCCACCGGGAACTGCGTCGATCGATATCTAGGAAAGTACTGCTCCGAAAAATTTGAAAAGTTGGCAACATGGCAATGTCCCTGGGGCGAACACAACTAAAATATCTAGAACTCTCCAGCACACCAACTTCGTTATTTTAACTGGGACACCCTATATATTATTACATTTTCGGATTCTACGTGAAATTTGAAAGTCACTTTATTAAATATTCCCTATACCTAGGAGTTATAGATTTTGTGATATTAATTTTTAAAGAAAAAATTTGACAGATGCAAGGGTTCGCGAAGATGCTTGTAACTCTTTTCAGGAGCGTGATATCAAGCGGATTTTTGGTACCTGTAAAGGGCATATGTAACATTATGGTATACCAACAAATTAAAACATTTAATACTAGGTGTTTCATTTTTGCTGCTACATTTTTTATATAACTTCAAAGAGCTATAACTTTGTTAACTTAAATGGAACATCCTGTATTTATTTACTCTGTCGTATGCAGATTGAAATTTCCTTTCAAGCCATATGATCATTGTTGTGGTTGCCGTTACTAGTTTTAGAGATATTTGCAATTTTCTATTTTTTGGACAGTTTTTCTCGTATCAGACCTGCTGTCAAATTGTCCATGACCAGAAACACTCCAAAAACAATTGAAATAACATGACATTTGTCAAGTTAGTTGTCAAATTATTGTTGTGTCTGAAAAGTTTTTGCCGAAAATTTTAATAAAAATGTGGCAAAGTAATTTCAAGAACATGTATAGAATCTGTTGCTTTTTTCCATAAATAACAAACAAATCAAAATAATCCTCATAAGTATAATTTAAACGGTTCCCAGGTATTTTTATTTAAATTTTCAGCAAAAACTATTACAGACATAACAATAATTTGACAACTAACTTGACAAATTTCAAGCCATTTTAATTGTTTTGCATCTTCATGCTTACTCAATTCAGTTCAATTGACTCAAGAACTGACCATGCAGAGCGAAGAGAGTTGGTTGAATGGATTACGGAACAAGTGAATCCTGATTTTTAGAACAAAATCCTCAGTAACGAAGCTCATTTTCATCTTGATGGCTTCGTTAATCGACAAAATTGCCGCATTTGGGCTTCAGAAAATCCACGAGTGATTGTTGAGAAACAAATGCATCCAAAACAGGGCTGATTAGGCAAGAACAATTTTATGTGCCTAAATTGCAAGATATGGATGTAGATGACATGCGGTTTCAAAAAGACGATGCCACATCAGAATTGGCCGCCTAGATCATGCGATTTAATGTCGTTTAACTTTTTTCTTCGGCCATTCACGCCTTGAAATTCGAAATTTAGCCCATTTATGCAAAAGAGTCATGGAAAATTTCGACAAAACAGTGCGTATGTGCCAGAAATGCCGTGGAGGCCATTTACCCAATATGCTATTCCATACATAACCTTACATTTAATTGAAAACCTGTGTTTTCTATCAAAATTACTTCTTGCGTGAATTTTAGAAGTAATCAGTATTACATATGAGTGGTTAATATTCGTTTGGGAGTAATGCTTACTGCGGCAATTCTCTTGATAATTATAATAATAATGATGATGATGGAGACTAAAAAATAAAAACTACAGCTTTAAAATCGCTGTAAAATTAAATAAGTAACCCCATTTTAAACTAGAAATTTTGCTGCAAACTTTAAAATTGTAAAACTGTATATTGGGTAAAAATATAAACGGGAAAAGGATGGAATAAGAAAGTTTTAATAAATAATTCATTATATATTTTGTTTGGTTTTCGCATATATGTATTTGAGTTATATTTGATCTAAGAATTTGTAATATTTCGAGACGAATTACATATACAAACAGGCAGGAAATTTCCAGAACTAACACGAGTAAAAATAGGTGATAAGCTTCTTAATAAAGCACCAGCTGTTCCAAGCACAATCTCACTTTATTCAAGATTTAAAAGCTTCCTAAAAATGTTTTTCTCTCATGGTTCATTACCATTCTCACACAATTCCGACTTCTTTGCTTTACTTAATATATAATAATTTTAAGGCAACGTAAATTTCTGCACTTTTCAGTTCATTTAATTTTTGATTTAGCCTAATGGTTTTCGCACTAAATAAACATCTTAAATATAGAAATAATAAATCTGATTTAATGGACAAATCCAGATGAGTTTGCTTGGATTATTTCATTAGCTGTTTAGATGTCTAAAATTTTATCTTAACAAACATTAATATTACATTAATTTAAAAAACTGGTTTGTTACTTAAATAAAGACCCTAATACTGTCCACAAAGTAATACATCTACCTTTCACACAAACCCAAATATAGTGCATATCACTTGAATTTGAAGTGAAGAGGATGGCCTATGCTTATTGAAATAAATAAATAACACGAGTTTAACTAAACTAAAATAATAACTTATTTTATTAAAATTTGTTTTTTAGATTTACTTCATAAAAACATCTATTTTATTGATTTTGCATAGCATTTTATTTTTATAAATTAAGCATATTGTCATTGTCGTTATTTTGTAATAATAATTCTTTGTTTTAAGAGAAATTATTTATAATTTACTTATAGTGCATGTTAAGTGCAACTTCCCTTATAAGCTTTATTCTACTACAATGCAGATTATCGCAATTTTTTTATGATACTTGGATCATATACATTCACATTACATGAATACCAAATACGTTAATACTAAAAAATCCCACTGACTTTCAGTAATGACACAGTATTAATACAAGTGTAAAAAGTATTACAAGTCATTTAAAAATTCCCGAAGCATGATTTTGGTGCATTTTGGAAACCCCTTCACTTTAACATTTATTTACCAATAACACTGTTCTTGTTTCTAGATTTATACCAGATGAATGGGGTCCCTGTAGCGAAACATGCGGAGAAGGCATCCGGAAGCGCGAAGTTCACTGTAAAATCTTCCTAGAGTTCTCCAGGACAATCGCAAAACTGCCCGACAAGCAATGCACGGGTCCAAAACCAGTAGAAATAGAAAAATGTTACATGGAACCATGTGCCTCAGAGAAAATAGGTGTAGACATCAAAGACGACCCTTACAGATCAGATATTAAGGTTGCTCCAGGGTCTCCTGCTAAATCTTACTCTTGGAAAGAGCAAGGATATACACATTGCAGTGCTACCTGTCTTGGTGGGGTGCAGGAGCTTATAGTTAACTGTGTTAGAGACGACACCCAGAAAGTTACGTCGCCTTATATGTGCCCTATAGAACTTAAACCAGAAATCCTTATGAGAACCTGCAACGACCATCCTTGTCCACCCAGGTGGAATTACTCGGAGTTCTCTCCATGTTCCCAAAGCTGTGGAATTGGCATTCAAACGAGAGAAGTAAATTGCATTCATGAAGTTACTCAAGGTGGTGGGAACACTGTGGTTGTTCCCAATAACATGTGTCCTCAACCACCGCCTCCGGACAGGCAGTACTGTAACGTCTTAGACTGTCCTGTAAGGTGGAAGGTCCATGAATGGTCTAGATGCTCAAAGAGCTGTGGAGGTGGGGAAAAGACAAGAAAAGTAGAATGTAAACAGGTAATGGCACAGAACCACACAGTTGATAGGCCTCCTACTATGTGTCCCTCACCGAAACCTGTTGAGACTAAATCGTGTAACACCAAAAGTTGTATAGTTGAAAGCGATAAGCCTCATATTGACGTCTCTAATAGTACTTTTATACAACACGACCCGAAGAAGAAAAAGATATCATTGAAGGTTGGAGGAGCTGCAACGGTTTTTCTTGGAACAACCATAAAAATTAAATGTCCCGTGAAACGGTTCAACAGGACGAAAATTCAGTGGATCAAAGACAAGAATTATCTACCAAAAACAAAAAAGTATAAAACCTCCAAAAAAGGCGCTTTGAGAGTATCGAACCTTACCTTGCGAGACAGTGGACTGTACACATGCGTTGCTGGTAAATCCTCTGCTAGTATCCACATTTCAGTTAGACCCAAGCCTGGAGAATTTCCTACATCCGAGGAAATCCAAAAACTGGGATATAAGCCGGATAAAGTCGATTTGATATCTGATATAAACATTAACAGAGACGACGGTAATCCGATTTTTAGCGACGACCATTCTCACGAACAGAGACCTGATGGCGTCAGGAAGAATCCCACATCTAGGACCCGGTTGTTTACACCAACGTTGCCTTCTCTGAGGTTGGATACCAATCTCATAAACAAAAATTCCCAGAGCACCACCGATATATCCGATTCGGATCAAGTAAGTGAAAAGATTTTTTTTTAGCATTTACTGTTTTAAACGAATAGTTTAAAACTCAATATTTAACAGGATGTTTTTTAATTATTCTAAAATACTGAAGAGGCTTATTTTAAAAACTAATCTTCTTAAGAGCTATAGAGCAAAAAAGGCAACCAGCAATACATTTTTATAGATTTTATTATACAGTTTGTCTAAATATGAATTAATGCAGACTTTCCTCCATTCTAACGCAGATTTTCTATAAAACGGAGTTAGTGTGAAAATCATATTACTTTTTGTTGTAAAGAAATCTGTTATTTGCAGACAATACATACAATATAGTGAATTCGTAGATATTAGAAGTTAATATTTAATATGTTAATTTTAAAATAATAATTTTCTTTAATGGATGAATTGGAATCAAAATTGTAAAAAGCCATATTGATTTGTTATTGATGTCACACTCAAATGAATTGGTTAATTGTTTAGTCAAATTCGGTTCAATTTGTTGTGAAGTATTTAAAAGCGTTTTGTTTCGAAAAGATCAAATACTCAAGTATACCAGAACATGCATGTAAATTAAGTGTTTCTGGAAAATGTTTGAGTTTTGCAATAAAAAGTATTATAGAACAGACAATGTCATCTTGAGCCAGCCAAATTTCCAGCCGATTTTCGTCCAACAGAAAAATATCCAAAAACTTTTGTTGCCACAATAAAGTTTTAAAATATTGTTCCTTAATTTACGGAAAGAAAGAAAGAAATTTTCAAAATAATATATTAGAAAAATATGTTCAATATGGGGTCGGTGTTTTTGAAATTTTATATCTTTATTGTATTGCACTGTTTACTTTTTTTTTTAGCTTAATTGTTGTTGTAATAAGACGTATTTTAGTTTTGTCCTTTGTTTCCTGTATAAAAAAATTAAATTTTTGATAACGTGACTCTTATTCATTTTTCAAGAAAAAAACTTTTATCAAGAATGCTTTTTTCGTATTTTGCAAAATAAAGTATATTTACTCTGCCGCAAAAAAACATTTTTGTGTTTTTGACCTACCCTGTACAACAAAATTGAAGTTCGCCATGGTGATTCCATTTGTCCTCTTATAAACTCAATCCGCGGACATACCGTATATTATCTATACCATTTATATTTGCATTCGATTTGAGGAAAAATAACTGATCAGAAATAAATTAAATAGTCAGAAAAATAGCACATCTGACTCAAATTTGCTAATCTCAATTTGTATGCACATTTTTCTTAATTGTGTAATTTCTATAGTTATTTTTGTATTATAGCACTTGATCTAGAAAGTTTCATAGTAAAAAAAAATAATTAAAAATTTAGTTTACATAATTAAATAAATTAGCCTTATTAAAAAGGAAATGTGAAATTTGTAATATGCAGTCAGTTTAACTCGACTTGCCAAATTCGTTTGCAAAACTCTGAATACGCGTTCTCCTCGTAGCTCGCCTTTACAGCAGCTGTAAAGTGTTTGTTTATAGCGGTGGTTATGGTTACCGTCACGCAGCAGTGAAGGACAGAGTGGGAGTAGCGCATATTTAATTTGCAGTTTGGGCTCTGTTTAATCTGACTGTAATCAAGTAATAACTATTCACCACTTTTTTTTCTTAATACACGTAATTTGTTTGCGTGTGGTGTAAAATTTTGGTACCTAATTATTGTTATAAAAGTTTAAATTAGATTGTAAAGACAGACTAACAACATTTGCTATCTATTGAAACATCAGTAGTGGGATAAATACTAAACATTAATGAAAAAGTATAATTCGCTATAAAAAATAATGTTAAGCCCATTTTCCCTATATTTCTATAGTACATAAAATAAAATTACCCAATTATATCTGATTTTTTTTAAATACTTTGTACCTAAATTTTTCAAGAGTCGCCACTGATTAAATGTCAATCATTACTTATTTATAAGATCATTTTGTCAATTCTCGTTTTATGTGAACTGTGATCGATCACTCGCGACAAAAATTTTACACAAATGCTTATATTTCTTCATTCAAAATTTTAGGCCATATTCTTCACCTTTTTAAAGTAACCTTCGAAATTTGAAGTGGGCAAATACTCAGTATAATTGTAAATCGCTGAGTTGCTAAGAATCGGCGAGAGAGAAGCTAAGTTCCTCATTTATTTTTCCTCAGTTTTCAAATCGAATTGAAATATCTAAGCTAAGAGGTGCTAAGTGGATATTACAAAGTACGTAGTTCGACATATTGCTACACTGCTGTCGCAACGACCAAACCTTTTTAGTTTATAACATATCGTGTTTAAGAAAACATCTCATTGCAGAAGAAAATTTAATACCTTATTACTAAAGGTTATCTTGTTTACTTGCTGTTTATCTGTCCCAGCATGTCTACTTTGAACTTTTGATATCAACACTTCAACATCAATGTTGCTGTATACGCGTTCAAAATAAATTAATTTGTATCTTGCGTGGCAATATAGCGTAGCGAAGCTTGCACTGCACTTTACCGCGTTAGGATATGCGTTCATATACACTGTATAAAAAAAAGGCTTAGACAATAGTTTTTTACTTAAGTTTTTTTTCCACCTTTTGGTAACCATGAGTTTGTTTGGGAATCAGTAATTTTGTTGCCATACCATTTTCAGTTCTTTTTTGGAATCAACAAATAAAATACGAATTTAAGAGCATTGGCGAAGAAGAGAGGGCCTTGCCTAGTAAAAATTTTGACCCATTTTGCGTGTAACTGTTGAGTGCTCTTAGTGGGAAAAGTGGTTGAATTAACAGGGAAAGTCTTCCCACAGCCTGGCCACCAAGATCTCCTAACCTTGCATCTTGCAATTTCTTCTTAGAGGGATACTTAAAATCCAAGGTGCCGAAATGGAACAGCACATAAAAGACGAAGTTGCATTGATTTCTCCAGGGTGATTAGAAACGTACTTGGTAGTTTTTACGATAAACTCTGCCACAGTCATGGGGAAGTCTTCAAGCATGTGTTAGTTTCCGGTATTAATTAATTTTAAAGTACCATTTTGTACTTTTTCAGTAAAGAGAATTTATTAACAGACGATTTTTAGTTTGCTGTGAGAAGTATTGTTGACATTACAATCATGCAAAAGTGTCAAAATTTTCACTAGGCACCGCCTTTTCTTCGGCAACATTCTTGATTTCGGATTTTTGGATTTTCACTCAAATGCTAGGGTCTCGTAAAGGGTTTTATGAGGGTTAAGTGTTAAGTTCAACTCAGATCAGCGTAGGCACATAAGCATTTTAGCCTTACACTAATTGGGGTGAGGAATTGAGGATTTGATGCTAATCGAATGCTACTACGTTGGAATTGACATTTACATTACGTAGATAATCTGCCCAAATATGTGTATCCTAAAATATACAATTTCTCAGATACAATGCGCTAAAATAATGTGCAAAATAAACATGGTCGTTTTAGATATATCTAAACAAATATCAAAATAGTCATGTTAATATAATTTATTTCATTACAGTACTGAGTCCGGAACTGCTTTAAAAAAACACACGTTGAAGAAAGAGCTGGTATTCCTTCTCATAACGAGCAGAAGACTTCGTAGGCACCAATTTACTGGTTGCTTCAGCACATTTTAGCTCGATTCCTTCCATTTTTTACGAAAATTATCGCAAAATACGCACGGGATGACAAACTGTCAAATTTGTTATTTTTGTTTTTACGTCACTAAGCTAAATCAAAAGCTATGCGATAAAACAAGAATCGAAACCACGATAACACCTACATGCAGGCAGGTTATATAAAATAAAACATTAAAATTTCATTTTTAATACAACACAGTATGAAATAAAACGTTGTACGATACACGGCCGTGAAATGTCATTAAAGTACTCGTCTAGAAATTCCTGCCTCGGCTCCTTCGTCGCCTCGTCCGTAAACATCTAGACTTGTACTTTAATATACCATTTCCCGGCCTTGTAACGTAAATAACTATTCCAATCCAAGTTTTTCCAAACATTATTATTAAAACATTGCATTTTCCCGTTAAACAGGCAATTAAATAATAAAATACCAAAATACATATTTTGCGCAATATTGGAAGATCAAAATATGTGCAAAGAAAAAATACAGGAACCAATGCCAATTTTTTCCTAATACAATATGACAGGACTAAACGGCAACTTTTAATTAAAACTTTCTTTTAATGTTGCATTTGTACACATGGCCAATCCAGCGATTTGGAAAAACTGCATCTAAATATGCACGCACTGGCCGAGAAAAATGCGGTGGAGTTCCGTCGTGCATGAACCACATGTCTCTTCTTAAATAAAGTGGAATTTCTTCATGCCGTGGAAGCATTTTTGCTTGGCCATCCAGAAGTCCGGACTTCAATCCTCTCGATTTTTCTATTTGGTCTCGAATGAAAGATATAGTTTGGTATTGGTTCGCGTGAAGAGTTGTGGCAAAGAACACAATCGCTGACAACGAAGTTAAATGCAATCCCAATATGCTGTTTCAAACTCGAAGATCTCCCAGAAAACGTGTAAAGTGTATCAGTGTCAGCGGTGGATTCTTCGAAGAATTACTTTAAATCATTATTACTAATTTCATTTGTTTTATTGTTAATTGTTGTAATAACATGAAGAAACACTTGGTTTGTTTCGCTTTTAATTTCTCGTGTTATCAAAACTTAGTGTTAAATCGATTTTTCTCGAAAACGAATCGAGATACCGAAATGAAACAAGAATAAATAATTAATGGAAAAATGATTGCTCTTTCAGGTTTTGCATCAAAATTCATATTAGATATACAGGGTAAAAAGTTATTAACTAAATTTTCTGTAAAATTGGTCGTAAGTGGCGCCCTCTATGACCAACGCTGAAATTGCAACACGTATCTTATTCGTCGCATAAAAAAATATAGTTTCACAAATTTTCAAGTTCCTAACCTACATATTTTCAGAATAATAGCAAAAAACGATCTAAAATTTTAACTTTCAATTCCCTGTATTTCGGAAACTATCAACTTTCAGATAAGACATGTTTG